ATACATGTCAGTTATTATGCACGAAGATATATAGATTGCGTATAAAAAAAAAAAGAATGTTTCAATTTGAACATTAAAGAGAATCACATTAAGACCATCTCTTCTATTCAAGAAAAGAAGAGTTTTGTTAATCTCTCATAGTTTATGGAAGTCGAATAGAACAAACAATAAATAAAACCAGTTGAACCTGAACTGGACTCGAACCAGTCCTTCTTCTAGCAGTCTTAGATACGAATGATGAGTAAACAACTCCTTTTCATCCAACAAACAAGGAAGACCCCAACCAAATTGGGTCTCATTTGGGTTTGGAATAATTAGAGATCTTACATGATTTTAAATAATCATTTCAAATGATCAGAGAGGCACAGGGTAACGGTTGATGCAATCCACCCAAGGATTGTTCCTGGTCGGCTTCTTCACCTTCCTCATTGCCTTCCACACCACACTGTTACACTTGAAACCTGACCCGAACGCAATCTGCCAGACCCTATCCCCTCTTCGCACACTTTCCTTAGCCTCCAAGTAAGCCAGCTCGTACCAGATTCCACTACTGGAGGTGTTTCCAAACCTGTGCAGAGTCATCCTAGAAGCCTCCATGTTCTCTTCACTCAAGCCTAGATTCTTCTGAAGCTCCTCAAGCACTGTTTTGCTTGCTGCGTGGAAGCAGAAGTGCTCGAAGGCAAGCTTGTAGTCCGGGATGTATGGCTTAGACAGATCAGAGGAGGACGACTTGATCATTCCATTGGTTTTAGCCGTGGCAGGACCAATGGAACCATTTGTAGTGGTGGTTTTGGCGGCAGGTGAGAAAGTTCGACGGAGCAAAGCTGCAAAGAAGAGAATCTGCTCGGAGAAAGGGAGAACCAGAGGGCCTAAAGTAGTGATGTTCGTCTTGAGAGCTTCACCTCCTACTTCCATTAGGTCTTTGCTAATTTTCAACCCCTTGAATCCTTGTTCATCTTCTTCCTGGTACACACTCCTAAATAAAACCAAAACATTTCATTGGTTATGAATTTTTATAACCGATGAAAGCGAATTAAAACCGAAATAACCAAAGCAATATTGTAACCTGAAGCTACGGTCATCAGCGGCCTTATGAGTCCGGACGATGTGCTCAAGACGGTACTTGGCGTGGCGGAAGTCACGACGGCGGTTAGATAGCATAACGGCGGAGCAACCCATCCTGAAGAAGCAATTAGGTATGACCATTGACTTGTCACGTCCCACGTACCAGTTATACCCGACCATCTCGGTACTCACAACAACCGCGTAGCTGTTTGGGTTAGACTGAAGCATGTCACGAGCAAGATCGACGGCTATGATTCCGGCGGAACAGCCCATCCCTCCGAGGTTGTAGCTGAGTATGTTACCTCTCATCTTGTAGTGGTTGATCACCATCGCCGACAGTGACGGTGTCGGGTTGAAAATGCTGCAGTTGACAACGAGAACACCGACGTCTTTCGGTTTGACACGTGTCTTCTCGAAAAGCTCGTCTAGTGCTCCGAATATCACCCTCGACGCTTCCTCACGACCTTCTTTCATTGTTGTTATGTTCTCCGGCGAAGAGATGGATCTTGGGACGTACGTCTCGTCGCCTATCCCTGAGGCTTGTAGGATCCTCTTCTTGAAACTGAGTGTCTCTTCGTCGAACTTGCCAGATTTTCTCGCTAGATCTATGAACTCTTCTCTGGTCACCTGAACCACCAATTTTGAAAACTATTA